TACTAATAATATAACTAATAATAACTAATAATAAACTTAATAATAAAACTAATACTACAACTCATTCTATAACAATAAGAACCAACATCAAAAATTTTATTTATATTTTTTAATTCTATATACTGTATATATATAAATATTTGTTGGTACATATACTATAGACCTATAATTGTAAATTTTTAACCTATCTGGCCTAGTTATTCAAAAAAACTTGAACGTTATTATAGGAATATTCTTGCATCAGCTAAAACTTTTTCTTCTATTCCAAAAATAATCAAAAAAATATTCTTGTAATGTGCATTGACTAGAGCTTTTCCTTCTAATTTAATAATATTCAGATGTAATCAACTTTTCATTAGCTTAAGCTTTTATATAAAAATTAAAGAATATAGAAATAAAACTTTAAATCACTATGTCATATAATAAAATATTATTTTAAAAAAAAAGTATTTCATTTTGTGCAAATTTTTCATATCACTAAAATGCTTTTCTTTTTTTTTTCAGTGCTAATTCTATTTTGATAACAAAATCAAAGATTGTATTATCCACTTTTCATAATACTGAAATGCTTTCATATCATTTTTTCAGTTCTTTTATTGTGAAATTCCTATCTTCAGAATTGCAATTACTCAATTATTATAGCTTTAATATTCTTAGTGCTTGAATTATGATTTTTGTTTTTGTAATGCTTTAGCTTCAACCATCACTTTAATAATATAAGGTTTCTATGTTAAAAAAAAATTATTAGAAATCTTGAAATTTGGAATCAAATTAATAACAAAAATTATTATTTTAAAATAAATGCATCACCTATCTTAAAGTTAGATTCTTACATTTTTATAGTAGTTATTTGATGTTTATAGTTGCTTCAGGTCCCTAGATATATATTTAAGTAATAGAATTATCTCTTTCATTACTTTAAATCAAGAATGGGTAGTAAACTTAAATTATATATTTATACACCACAAAACTTATTTGATCAAAATGTATTAAATATACTCACTACTTTTTTGTTCTGATATTTCCAAAAATGTAAAACGATTAGTACCTATAGCATATTAATTGGTGATTTGCCAGTCAACCAGAGAAGATCTGCAAATTTTTATAAGTAAATTTTACTATTGAGCTAAATGTGGAGTGCATCAATATAAAACTTTTTTCTTACTAAGTAAATCACTCTTGAGCTTATAACAAAATTTGTAGAGCTCATCAAGACGCATCTAATGGTAGTAAAAACATTAAAATTGGCCTAGTAGTTCTCGAGAAATCTTTAAAAAACGTTTCGCCGACATATAAAATTTCTTTAAAAAAAATTGATTTTTTTTAAAGAAATTTTATATGTCAGCGAAACGTTTTTTAAAGATTTCTCGAGAACTACCAGGCCAATTTTAACGTTCTTACTACCATTAGATGCGTCTTGATGAGCTCTACAACTTTTGTTATAAGCTCAAGAGTAATTTACTTAGTAAGAAAAGAAGTTTTAGATTGATGCACTCCACATTTAGCTCAATAGTAAAATTTACTTATAAAAATTTGCAGATCTTCTCTAGTTGACTGGTGAATCACCAATTAAAATTATTAAATCAGTTTAATGCTAATTAAATACTTAACTGATCCTTTTTTGTTTAATGAAAATAAATAAACAGAGCTTTTTTTATGATTATTTATTATATATTGAATGTTAATTCTAGAAATTATAATGTTTTTTTTTTTTAAGAATTTGAATAAAGGTCAAATTTAGTATATTCATAAATATTCAAAAAAAAATATTCAATGCTGAGCGTCGAATCTAAAAACATGTTTTCAAGACTAATAACTATATGATTACTTATTAACTAGTTTAATTTGTGGAATTTTAAGTTATCTATTTAGTGAATAGATGTATTAGCAAAAAATTTTTTGTGTATTATATATATTTGGTAAATAGAAGCTTATATAAAAATATATACGCTATAATTCACACAGTTTTAGTACAAATATATAAGAATCAAAAGCAAAAGATTAGTTATTGTTTTAATAAAAAAAAACTTATAAAAAACCTTATTTAAAAATATAATATATAAACCTTTATTCTATCTATTTTTGTTTCTTTGCATCTTTTAACCGATTATGACAACAGATTAATATTTTAATAATTTTTAGTATAAGATTCGATCGATAATCATTAACAATTCTTCCTGCTATATTAAAAACCTAAACAAATAATATAAGTTAATTTATATTGATAAACTAATATTTAGCTAGAATTCTACTTGTCGATTTAGATGTTACTGAAGTTATAGGGATGGCAAGAATGTCTTTTGCTATTAATGCTACAGAAGGATATTTGGATGCATTTTTCTTCTATCAAGCTAAAACATTAAATGTATTGGAGCAAGAACAGAGAAGAAGTAGATCGACAAGATAAAGTTCAAACTTGTCTATTTCACTAATTACATTAACTCAGTTTGTAGCAAGATAACAGTCAAATCCTTGTATTAACTCATTATTCTGTGAATCTAAATTAAAACAACTATGATTGTTATCAGATGTAACTATATTTTAAATATATATTGATCGATAGATTATCATTGCCCTATATAAAAATTAGTTATAATAAATTAAAAATGAACTTTTATATTTAAAAATATTATTGCTTATATAATAACTAGTTATAGCATAAGCTTTATCTAATTATGATATAAGCTATCCCTTATACCATTTTGCAGACAAATTTGCCTGCAAATTTTATCTATATTAACATTTAGACCATCAATTTAACTTCAAAAATACTATAATATAAACTATCAATATAATTTGATAGCTTAATCACAAATAAATCACAAAATTGCAGGCAAACTTAATTGCAAAACGGATTAAAAATCTTGAATTAAATTATCTTCTTTTAATAAAATTTAACTTTTCTTCAGCTTTAGTGCATGATATGCTTATATATATTAGTAAATAATGACATTTTATAGTGAGGATCCATTATCGATACAATACAAATCATATTTCCCATATCAGCCTAGTACTTATCAAACTTTGCTTGTATTAGAATAACCATTTGACAAATAAAGAGATTTATATTAATAACATTTTGTTCAAGATGTAATTTAATTTTTATCAAATAAGAAAGGAAAATATTTGCCATCTAGTATGTGCTTCCTGAAATAATATTTGTAACTATATTAAAAAAAAATAAAATTAATATAAATTTTTTAATAAAATATATTAAAAATTTATTATTATCTTCGTAAAATGGTTTTAGAAAATCACAAATATACTTAGCTTTTTTCCAATTCTCCTTAGAAGCCATAATATATTCAAAATTCATATCTTGTAATGCAAGATGGACAAATACATTTTTGTATAAAATAGTAGATTTTAATATTAAAAAAACAGAATTCTATCGTATAGACACATCAAGAGTTGGCCATTGACTTGATACAAGCTTAGTACACCTAGCCACTACATCTTTAAAATTTTGTAACCTAAGTTGTGAACTATGAATCCACTTTGTATATTCTCAGATTTTATTTATAATGTTCTTGACCATTTTGAGACCATCATTGACAACAAGATTTAATATATGGGTACAGCAGCATTGATGTAATAAATTTCTATTAGCAACAAGCATATTTTGCTCTTCAAGCTTATGCTTTATATCAGTAATTGCAGTATCATTACTGCTTGCATTGTCTATAGTGATCACTAATATCTTTGATGTAATCTTCCAATTATTAAAATATTTAAAAAGCATTTCACTGATTGCAACTTCTGTATGTGATGCAAGAACTATTCTAAATGCTATAACTAATTTTTGAAGCTTCCAGATTACATCAATAAAATGGCAGATAATGGTGGTATATTCAAGAGTCTGGTTTGAAGTTCACATATCAGTTGTATAGCATAAATGCTTGGGGCATCGTTTATTGTTAAGTAAACTTTTATTTTAAGTTTTTCAGCGATATTTACACAATCTCTATATACTGTTCTTTTGCTTATTATTTTATATTGTGGTTGTAATTCATTAACAAACTTTATAAATTCTTCATGCTCAACTATACGAAATAGATATGAATATTTAATGATCATTTCTATTATATTTTGGCAACTTTTTTCTTGAGAAAACTTATAAGTTACAAGGCCTGTCATGGATAATTTCAACGTTTGCTATGATTTATTGATCTTTAAATGCTTTTTACATTTTGTGTTTTTCATATACTAAATTAATGAGCTGGTTCCTATTATATTATCATGCTTCAAAACACTTTCACAATATATACATTTAATGTAATTTTCTAACAAATTATGTAATATGAATATTAATGAATTCACAAAAATAAAAACTATGATATTGTAAAGCAAGTATTTTATCCTTTTTAAAGTCATAATAAATGAAATGGCCTTCTTTAAAAACTATGATTCTGACTGATTTTTTCTGTGCTTTTTATAAACAGTAGTTATTTTAAAACTTTCATTCATAGTAGTTACTGCAGAACTTTCATTAGTAGTTGTTTCAGGATTTTTGCTAGTGGTGGTTACTTCAATACTTTCATTATTTGAGATTGTTTCAAGGCCTTCACTTTCATACACAACAGACTGAACACTTTGTGTTTCTAGTAATTCTAATTATAGTAATAAGTTAATATATCTAAAATATATAAAGTCAAAAAAATACCAACATACTATAATCCATCTGCTATAATATGATTTGAATGAACGAACTATTTAATATCTTCAGGTCATGTAACCTAAAGACAAAAATTTGATTAAATCCTATCATTTAAAAAATTTAAATTTTCTTTTACTAAATAAATCTTTATATCTACTAATTATAAAGTATTTTTTAAAATAATTTTATATAGTGATGATGTGACGACATAGTGAAGTGGTTAAGTTGTCATACTCCAAGCAGCATGTTGACAGATGAGGTTCGAAATCTACCAACGGTGAAATTTCGAATATTCTGCTTGTATGACGGCTATTGTCTTCAATGATTAGTTAGAACGGGATCTCTGTAACCTTAGTAGCACTAACTAAATCGGGAGATTATAGGGTATTCGTACAATATATAAGTTATACAAAGGTATGCAAGCTGGTATTAATTGATACAAACCCAAGATAAAACCTCACATTTATATAAATCCAGAGAACTGGAAAGATAGATGCCTGCTTGGCAAGATCCAAATAGAGAGATAGTACAAACTTTTAACAGTGACTACTGGATAGGCTTTACTCGAGGCTAGCATAACTGGATGAGAATCAAATACTTAGAGGGAAAGTACTCCACCAACCAGGCTGCCAGAATCGCTGGAGAAAAAGGATTTGCAGTGCAGATACCAAGGGACTGATGTCTTATTCAGGCCATCTGGATTGGTAGTTTAGAGAGACCAGCTAGGGAGTACTAAAAGAGAAGATACTGATTGTCTTGAAGAGGAGGTACTGAGGTTTGGGTGAACTTTACAAGGGCTAAGTAGATAATGGTAGCAGCTTCAGCTTACAAGTACTTGTCTTCGGACTCGGTATAAGTTACTAAAATAGACTAGGTAATATAGTAATAGTGGGTATCAGACTGCTCTAGCAGGTTATGCACTTGAGGATAAATCGGTAATACTGGTAGTCCTATAAGCAGCATACAATGATTTTGAAACTTGAACTGACTTATGTATCATATGTTCTGGGTGAGGTTAGATAGATTGGCATAAGCATGGTGGATATTTGATTTGGTTGCCTTGAAGATCACTAAGTTATACAATATAAAAAAAATTTTTAAAGTAAGCCTTACTATATAAAACCACATCGTCAATTGGCAACTAGTGGTTTTATATAATAAAATTTTTTTAAAACACATTATAGTGTTTTTTAACCCTTCGTATATCTTTTATAAAAAAAGATCAGTATAGATCATTATTACTAAAAACTTTACTTAGAGGGCAAATTCAGCAAGTAATATGATAATACAGTATGTAACGAATAAGTTAATTAGGTATTAATCGTTATACTGTACATGTATAAACTTTTTTTTTCCTTTTAAACTGCAACTAGAAACTTTACCAACTGACAACATTTGGATCCAAATATTCTTAGAAGGTGTAGTATAGACCGATCAATTACACCTTCTGATCTTCGAATGAATTTCTCTTAAGCAAAAAAAAAAACTTAAATTACTATTTACAAAGACAAGTATATTTCATATTCTAATAGATTAAGAAAAGTTTATTTTACAAACTTTACTAAATATACAACTACTGTACTATACAAAGCCTATATATATGAATTAGAATAGTTTTATCTTCATAGAATTAACCTTAAAAAGGATAAATATAAAACATTCGCTCAGTTCAAAAAATCTGCTAATGTGAAGCATACTGAAGGAATCAATTGTCTTGGCTATTGTTACGAATACAGAATAGAAGTTAAAAAGAATAAAACAAGGTATTTATATATTATCAAAAATCAGCAAATATGTATAATCCTAATAGAATATATCAAGTTGGTTATTATTATTATTTAGGAATTAGAGTCAAAATCGATAAGCATAAAGCATTTATCATAAAGATTTAGAAATCTGCTATTTGTTATTATGGATTTGGCGTAGAAGAAGATCAAAATAAATTTTATGAATAGATTGAAAAATATAGTGATTTTTATTTTTATTTATAGCTTATTTAATACAAATTTAACTTAGAGCCTAGAAATATGAAAATGTGATTGAATGGATTCCATTTAATAAATTATCTGATATTAAAGAAATCAATAAAGGTGGATTTGGTTCTATATATTAGCAACCTGGTTGGATAGCATATAAAAGGTTGATAGTAATGATTATAATTATATAAGAGCATGTAAACCATCCAGTATTGTTGCACTTAAGACGTTGACCAGTTCGAAGGAAAACAATTTTGACTTTTTTAAAAGTAAGTTAATTTATTATTATAATAATTTATCTAATTGTTTATTATACTAATTTATTGTTAAGTTTAAAAGTCTTATGGAATATAAATTAAAATTTAGTAAGCTCACAATATACAGAATAACCAATAATACAGAAACAAAAGATTACTTGATTGTCTTTCAGTATGCTAATAATAGAAGTTTTTATAAATATTTAACAAAAAATTTTAGTGAGCTTACATAGGAGACTAAATTTTGCAAGACCAACGTACTAATGAAAATACACAATCCTATATCACAGATCTAAAATTGTTTAGAAAGAGAAATGCGAATGTTTCAGATAGCAAAGTTTATGGAGTTATATCCTATGTTGCTCCTGAGGTTTTATTAGATGATAAGATGTTTTACACAAGCAGCAGATATTTATAGATTTGGTGTTATTATAGCCGAATTGTCAACCGGTCAAAGACCTTTTGATAGTCATGAATTTGATCATAAATTTGCATTCAAGATTTGCATCCAGAGTTTGCACCTGAAACTCCTAAATGCTATATTGAATTGGCTGAGAAATGCATAAATGCTAATCTGAAAGAATGGCCTCTTGTTTATAAGATTAAACAAGAAATTGAATTTTGGCTTAAGAAGATAGCTAGTTCAGATGATAATAAAATTAAAAAGCAATTTTTGAATGCTAATAAAGTTACTGTATTAAATTATTGCCGATATTAAAGCATTCTGATAGAATATACACTAGCAAAATAATTAACACAAATTAATTTCAAAGGTGATTAAAGGTATTTATTTATTTCAACTTATATAAACTTTACTTAAAAACAAATATTTTTACTATTTATTATAGTATTAAAATGCTGAAAATGACCAACAAAAAAAAAAGAAAATTGAAATATTACATGTTAAGATCTAAATCTAAAGAATTTTGTTATATCATTTAATATGCTACTATATAAAAAGCTTATATAATGCTCATATTTTATTTATTTTATGTATTCTAAATATTATACTATTATAGAGTAAAACATTAGTAACTTCAGATTAAGTAGTAGATTGATAATATATATAGTATATGAGTATTATTGTTTCATTAATTATATGAGATAAAGGTCATATTGTATCTCTAATAAAGGTTATGATAATGAGAATTACTTTATTTTTTTAAAAGATAATAAATAAAAAACAAAGCTTTAAACAAAGTTTTATTTTTTAATATTAAAAGTTATATAATTTGATTGATTAATTATCATAAGCAGTCACAGGTAATATAATGATCTACAACATGCATATTGTTTACTTGTTTACATTTTTTGACCAATTAAAACAAATGTCCGCCATGCTATTGATATAGAAAACTCAGATCAGAGGATTTAATTGGGTAACTCAAATAATAGTGGATTATAGATGCGTACATCTATGTGCTTCCAAACCAGTTTGGAAACTGGTTTCCTAGCCAATCAGCATCAGATATGTAGATGCTATACAAACGATCAGTGTGTAATATTAAAATTAAAAAAAACATTCATTTATTCAAAAAATCGTCTTTATCTTGAAATTTTGTATATGAAACTATCTTTTGCATTATAACAAAAAAAATTTCTTGCAAAATTTTGGTATAGATATCTTCTAAAGCCTACTCTAACCCTAACACTATCCTTGACTCTAATCTTTACAGTTAACCTTAGTTTTGTTAATGTTAAATAACAACAATGATGATCATTTCTATTTTGGATAGAGAGTCATAGTGGCTAGGAACCGGTTTTCAAACTAGTTTAGGGCGTATAGATGCACTCGGTTATAAGTAAGACATCTAGTGTAGAATCTAGTAATAAGTAGATACTTAATTAGACGCTCAAAAAGCAAAAATATAGCTAAAATGTACTCTCGTTAAAATATACTTGTCTGGGGCTCCCTTGAAAAAGGGCATCACATGATTCTATAATCTAATAAAAGCAGGAAGCCAAAAAGGCTAACCTTGATTATAAAAAAAAAATAATAATAATTTTATATAGTCATAATTCTTTTATTTATCTAATTTTTTAGTTTTTTATTTTTTTTTATATACATATATATGTATGTTCATACATATATTCTTTTAGTATACACTTTTACCAGACAAACTTGTCTGGATTCTTTTTATACAAAAAATCAATAATGATTAAGTTTGGATTAAGCAAGTTATTATTAACTGATTGGTGTTACTTGATACCTTTACATATATCGTGCCTGAAGTGCACTTGACTAAATTAGATTTTATCTTATGATAATTTAAGTAAATTAGCCCATTACTTTTATTAATTAATCAGCTTTTATTCAGAATAACAATACACAACTCTTCCTGACGATCACTTATACCAACCTAACACCGAAAGCAAGTTGAAGATTCAAGCCTAGAAGTCAACAACAACTTAAAGTTCTCTTGATACGAACTGTTATCAATGAAGTCTTTAAACGTGATACACCGAGGATTGGACGTTTTGGATGGTTTGCAAAGAGTTAAGCCTTGCTTCTCTGCTATTTCTGGGGTGGACTCCCCTTTGTATTTGGTATCTAAACCGGAGGAGTCTTTGGGAACAGCAAGTAGAAAAGAAAACTAAAGTTAGTTTGAAGATAAAGTTCAAACTTGTCTATTTCACTAATTACATTAACTCAGTTTGTAGCAAGATAACAGTCAAATCCTTGTA